AGACACATCAATTGGTTGCCTCCAGCACCCAACCAGGGCCGGGGATGGAGCCTGCAACTGAGGTATGTGTCCTTGACCCAGAATCAAACCTGGGACCCTTTAGTCTGCGGGCTGACACTCTAGCCACTGAGCCAAACTGGGTAGGGCCTAAGTTTATTTTTTTAATTAAATTTATTGGGGTGAAATTGTTTAACAGGATCATATAGGTTTCAAGTGCACATTTCTATGAGACATGATCTTTAGCCCCATTTTACCTTTTCTAAGTTTTGTCTCTTTAGTGGAGTCATATTTGATGGAGAACCTAAAAAGAACTCTACCAGTTTTTCTAGAATCTCAACCGAACCCTTAATATCCCTTTCTTATAGTTCCAAGTTCAGCTTTTGTCTTTTCTGCATTATTAGGCACAGTTCATTTCTAAAATTTTATTTAAATATAATTTTCCCAATGTTAAAATGTTTTTAAACCAACATGCTTCATTTTGTAATATTAATAACAAAAATTTTGTTTTATATATATATGTATATACACACATATATGTATGTTACTATAATAAAGTTATCTACAGAAAAGAAAATTGTAAGGAAGAGAAAATATATTTACAGTATTTATTGAAAAACTCCACATATAAGTGGACCTGTGCAGTTCAGACTCATATTCAAGGGCCAGTTGTAATTTCATAGTTACTCTGGTCCCTTGCTGCTTATCCTTTTAAATGTCTTTACTTTTTGTTTTTTATTTTTAAAATATTTTTATTGATTTCAGAGAGGAAGGGAGAGAGATAGAAACATCAATGATGAGAGAAAATCATTGATCGGCTGCCTCCTGCATGCCCTAGACTGGAATCAAACCCGGGACCCTTCAGTCCAATCCTCTATGCACTGAGCCAAACCAGCCAGGACTAAATATCTTTGCTTTTTAAAAATAAATTTGTAAAAGTAGGGTACCAGTTTAAAAATATATAAATAGAATTCTCTCTTTTCATTTTAGATGGAAATTATATGACAGAATATTTGGGTAACATCTTCCTGAAAGATCTTCAAGGACTACAGGTATTTTTAATTTAGAAATTAACTTTTCTTCTAAAGGAAAAATACCATAGTTAGGTTCAGTTGTGAATTGGTGGTTCTGTCATATAAACCAATTTGTTAAAAGTGAAATTGCAAGTATTATATTTATTGTCCTCTTATTGTGATTTTTTAAAATTGGGCATTTATAGTTAATATCAAACTTAGATTCACTGGTTTTTAAAATTTATTTTATCATTAAAACATGGCTCTACAGTCCTTTAGATTGGTGACATATTTAGTATATATGTATTCTAAATCTTTGTTTTAATTATGTTTGTTTATTTTTTAAGAGATTATCTACTCCAAATAGCCTTTACATTTGTATTTAATCCAGATTTGGTTGTGTAAATTATTTACATACTATTCAATTCAAATGCTCTTGCATTTTAACGTTCTGTTAATTTTTAATTTAAGTCATTATTTGATACTGTTCTTTGCAAATGATCACTTGAAATAGTACTTGTGCAAATGGGTATTTGCCAAAATCTTCTTTGAGTTGAAGTTAGTATTTGTGATTATTTTGCTTTCTCAGCTAGTGTTCTCCGTTCATTTATATGTAATTGAGTAACATTCTGATCTGTGAGGTTTTTTCAGTAGCTGTTTTCACTTGAACTCTTTACCCTAAATGGATTCTGGTTTTCCCTGGCCTTGATCCTGCTAAGACAGAAGAGTATCTGTAGTTTTCCTTCTCTGTTAAGCCAGTTTCTTTGCCTCTAAGCACCGCTTTTAAAAAGACTGAGCCCTAACCGGTTTGGCTCAGTGGATAGAGAGTTGGCCTGCGGACTCAAGGGTTCCGGGTTCGATTCCGGTCAAGGGCATGTACCTTGGTTGCGGGCACATCCCCAGTAGGGGGTGTGCAGGAGGCAGCTGATGGATGTTTCTCTCTCATCGATGTTTCTAACTCTCTATCCCTCTCCCTCTCTGTAAAAAATCAATAAAATATATTTAAAAAAAAAAAGACTGAATCAGTTAACTTTGCTGACTAGAGGAGCGTGTTGACGAGCTATGTGGCTTTTATTTTTTCTTTTCTAACTAAGCACCTGCTTTCCAGATATCTGAGAGCAATGTCTATGAAATAGTCATATACTTTCCCTAGATATTATACTTGGAACTGTGTCCCTATTTACGTACTGTCTCTGTCACCACTAAGTGGGCATGACCAGCAATGAGATTTAACCTTTGGTAGTTCGGCCTTTAGGTTGCTTCCCCTGTGGGCAGCTGTGGGATGTGTGTCTCAAAGGCTCTGGCAGGAAGGACAAATCCATGGGAATGGGACTCACTGACAGAGCAGACAGCCTTCCTCTTCCGTGCCAGGCCCGTCATGTGAAGCTGCCATCGCCAGCCCCTCTGCCCTCCAGGAAAGGGGTCCCTTTGTTATGCTTGGGCAGCGAGAGGATGTTGAGATGACCTGTATGAGACCAGGGTTGGGAATAGGTTGTAGTGGGGTAGGGTCAGGGTTAGGCCATTTTGATTCTTTTTTTTTAAAATATATTTTTATTTATTTCAGAGAGGAAAGGTAAGGGAGGGAGAGATAGGAACATTAATGATGAGAGAGAATCGTTGATTAGCTGCCTCCTGCACACCCCCTCCTGGGGATTGAGCCCGAAACCCGGGCATACATGCCCTTGACTGGAATTGAACCTGGGACCCTTCAGTCCACAGGCCAATGCTCTATCCACTGAGCCAAATCAGCCAGGGCCCATTTTGATTCTTGAATGACTTCTGTTACAACTTCTCACAGTGAAAGTAAATAACACACATTTTTTTCTTTTTCTTCCTTAGAAGACAAAAACACTAATGCATTTGAGAAAGTGGTAAAGTTGGGGGGGAGGGGAAGAACCCTGCTTTCCTGATTTGCAACTTGCCTGGATGCTAAGATGTCGGTGGACATGAATAGCCAGGGGTCTGACAGTAATGAAGAGGACTATGACCCAAATTGTGAAGAAGAGGAAGAGGACGAGGACCCGGGGGACATCGAGGACTATTACGTGGGCGTAGCCAGCGATGTGGAGCAGCAGGGGGCCGATGCCTTTGATCCCGAGGAGTACCAGTTCACCTGCTTGACCTACAAGGAGTCCGAGGGTGCTCTCAATGAGCACATGACCAGCTTAGCCTCTGTCCTGAAGGTGAGCAGTGTTGTCAATTCCAAGTGTAATCCTGCCCCCCTCCAATTAAATCTAAACATGAGCTGTTGTTAACTAATTTTTCCTTCAGACCGATTGAATGGCCCTGTAGCTTGAAGTCAGATTTGAGTACGTGTTGCATTATTTGGACACATTTGATGCATTTACTTTGTTTTCTGGTATATGCATATCTAAGACCCTCAGATTCTCAGACTGCTAGAATTACAAAGGAGGGGTGGGATGGATTCAAGAAAGTTAGACCAGAAATATATAGAAGCAGAATTGCACAGATGAACACTTGTTTAAGAAAGTGAGTCGTATGAAACTTTATTGGGTAAAATCTGATAAGCATCAGAATCACCATCTTCTACACAACCACGTGTGAGTGACTGATAAATGTGTGTCCTAGTAATCAGTGCCTCTGGGCTAATGATCTCATTTGTTTCATATACTGGTGACTGATCTAATGTTGGAAGAATCCTTATAGCCGTAACCTTAAGAATAAAGTAAGTTCTCATAGTTTGTATTTCACTGATTTGAGGGGGTTGTTAATATGGAAATTTTAAGGAATTAACAAAGTTGGTTATTCCAGCAAGAATCTTATTTTTAACACTTAACTAGCATACTTTTCTTTTTCTTTAAACTTTTATTGATTTTAGAGAGGAAGAAAGGAAGGGAGACAGAGAAACATCGATCGGTTGCCTCCCATACATGCCCGTACCCGCCCCGTATGCGCCCTGACTGGGAATGAACACGCAACCAACTGAGCCACGGGCCAGGGTGCATACTTTTCCCTGCCTTGCCCTCAGCCAGTGACCGTCCTCACTGTGTACATTTTGTCGTGTGTGATATTACACTCGTGCGTGGTGTGCTCACCTAGAACGCTGTGCACTGTGCGTATCTTTACGGTCCTTTAGACATTTTCCCAGCTTGTTTCTTTCCCCTATAACGTTGCCCATTATGTGAAAGTGGGGACGTTTTTCTTATTTCACTGTGTTCACTGACCTTCCTTCAGGAACTGTTATGTGGATTTTGTTGTCCATATAACTGTTGACTTGAAATTGAAGTCAAAGGTAGATTGGCTTATTTCAACCAAATAGTCTTCTGTTGGTATTGGTAAACGGAAATAACGAAAGTGTGCTGTGCATGATTTCTGTAACAGTTTTCCAGTTTAGGGATTTTTCCCCCAGGTGGTCAGCAAAGGCTCATAATGCCTTGGATTTAGATGCTCAGGGTTTATTAGCAACCAGCTGGAAGCTGAATGCTAGACTTTTTGTGTGACTCATTCCTAAAAGTGATTGCAGACTTTCTCTTTGCTCAGCGGAGAACTCTGGAGAATGGAGCCCAGTGGAAGCCCCGGGTTGGGGTTTCTGCGCCGTAGCTCTAGCAGAGCTGCTGGGACTCTGCTTCCAGAGGGCCTTGCCCAGGGGAAAGGAGGCATCGGGCTCTCTCTTCCTCACCCTGTACACCTCCCTGTCTGCTCAGCCAGCTTCTTTTGCGTTAATCACATGGTCAGGTTATGCACAGTGTTGGTATTTAAAATTAGCAAAGGAGTTGTCAGGTATGTGACTAGGTTCATCAGAATCTCTCCATCTGGGCCCAGGAGTCTGTTTGTGAAGGCCTCTGTGCTGACTTCCCTAACCTACTAGAGGCAGCCGGGGGCCAGGCACCTCTCTCCATCTGTGTGTGTGTGTGGGGGGGGGGGGGGATATATGTAACATCAAGTTTATCACTTACACCCTCCTTCATCAGGCTGCCGTATGGTCAGCCCTCTGAGAGCCTTTGCTCCCTAGAAGGCTCTCCTGACCTCCCAGGACCCTCAAGGCTCCTGCAGAGGCCAGCTGTGCTCTGAGCAAGGCTTGCTAAGAACCCCTGGAAAACAGTGGGTGTGCGCTCTTGGTCTGTGCCCATTGCATTAGACCATATACTGCAGTCTTCTGAGTGCTTTGTGTTGTTTTACCTTTTAGACATATTTTTGCGTGGTCTCTCCAACTAGATTGTCACTTCCTGGAGGGCAGGGACCACTTTGCACATTATCGCCCCCATCATTCCTGTCAGTATTTCATCCATAGTAGGTATTAAATCATTTCTTGGATACTTGTGGGTTTTGTCAACTGTTGAGGACAGTATCTGATGCTATTGGTGAGTTAGATTCCCTAGACCCTGCTGTACATCCTTGTCTAATGTCATGAAAAGGCATATTCTGGCCCTCAAGGTCATGAAAAGAAGGAAAAAGAACTTAGAATAGAGATGAAAGGATAAAAAGAGATGGAAGAAAGTTAAAACACAAGGAAAGAGTTCAAGAGAAAATGGGGCAGCCCTAGCTGGTTTGGCTCAGTGGATAGACCATTCTCCTGCGGACTGAAGGGTCACAGGTTCGATTCTGGTCAAGAGCACATGCCCAGGTTGCGCCTCGGTTCCCAGTAGGGGGCGTGCAGGAGGCAGCCAGTCAGTGATTTCCCTTTCATCATTGATGTTTCTACCTCTCTCTCCTCCCTTCTTCTCTGAAATCAATAAAAATATATATATATTTAAAAATTAAAAATAAAGATCCTCTTTCATCATTGATATTTCTATCTTTCCCTCTCCCTTCCTCTCTGAAATCAATTTATATATATATATATATATATATATATATATATATATATATATATATATATATATATATATATATATATATATATATATATATATATATATATATATATATATATATATATATATATGTGTGTGTGTGTGTATTTTATATATATATATGTATATATAAACAATTCACACACACACACACACACACACACACACACACATATATATATATATGTGTGTGTAAAAAGAGAAAATGGGGCAAAAAGGAAAATACTCCATGGAAATTTAGATGATGCTAGAATATAGGTTCCCCCCATCCTAGACTTCACTGAGGAGACTCCTTTCTCTCTGGGGCTGGGCCACGAGGGACCTGGCTCTTCTGGTGACTTGGCTGCACATAAAGGGACTCAGTGATGTTCTAAGTGGTTTGGGAATTTGACCCAAGAGGCCGCAGAAATCGCATGTTGAATGAGGAAGGCGCATGGGCTTGGACTCATGGCAGGCCCGTCCCCTGGGTCTCATCGTGCCCCGTGCCAGAGCCAACTGGCCTGGAACCACTGCCCAGCTCTGCCAGTGGGCTGCAGGCACTGAAACGGGTTACACAGTGGGAAAAAGAAAGAAGAAGGAATCACGTAATCTTCCTCTTTCAGGCTGGCTAAAAACTAGCATTTTTATTTTTATGATGAATATTTTTTGAGACAGAAGGGAATACTTTGAGTGTTGAGTTGACAGAACTCAACTACTGTCAACTGTGGCTCCCCTGCCGCATGTCTGTCTGAGTGGAGATCAATAGTCGTCACCCCGATCACTGCTGGTTTCCCCCATTGGTCATGGCACTGTGTGTACCACTGTGTGACATACTGAGTCTTTTATGTGATTCAGGTGCTGTTGGGCGAGTAGGGAATGTCGCGTGTATGACGTTTAAAATTATAGTGTTGGGAAGAGCTGCCTATGAACAAAAGCTATCTAAGTTTGAGGAGTGGCTTGAATTTTTCACTGTTGTTCAGGTCTGTCTGACTCCTTTTTGTGTGTTCTGGCAGTTGCCTATGCATGAGCCATAGTCTAATATAAAGTTAAGCCTTTTGGGATTTGATGTCTCTTAAGTAGAAAAACCCCAACTGTCTGAGACCCTGAGCTTTTGGTTTAGTGAGGACCTCTGGGGTGAGAGGAGGACTTCCTGTGTGTGTTCTGGGACTAGTCCATGAGTCTCATCATTAATCGAGAAAGGAAAGTGCCCAGAAAATCAGATCAAGGACTGAGGCTAGACAACAGAGAAAATGCTTATCTGTTATTGAGAGGAAACTACCATTGTTCACATCATGGCAGAACAAGGAGCTCTCATCGTACACAGATGTAATAGCGATGTGAGGATTGCCAAGTGAAGTGATGGAGGAGGAGGAAGATCTCTGACAAATATTTTAAGCCATCGTGTATGAGCTGTTAAAGAAAATGTTACCTTTTTTCACACCACGTTTATTTTTATAGGGAACTTACACAAAGATGATTTTATTGTTACAGATGAGAGCGGCCCTTTCTCGTAATAACAGGCATCTACAATACAGTATGTGTAATAGTGAGCCATGAAGAGTCGTGTCCTTCATGGAGTCCTGTTGGGACCGTTCCGTGACACTCGGGAGGCATTTGCTGTCAAGCTGCTCAGAAAGGGCTCGGCGGGCAGAGCCCAGGTGGCTTCCCTGGGAGGGGCCAGTGTGCGCTGCAGCTGCGCTCCTCTCCGCAGCCTCGGGGTGCGGGCAGGAGAGGTGGGGTGCTGCCCTGGGTCCCACCCAATTGCTTAAGAAGGAGAAGAGGGCCCTGACCGGTTTGGCTCAGTGGATAGAGCGTCGGCCTGTGGACTGAAGGGTCCCGGGTTCAATTCCGGTCAAGGGCATGTACCTGGGTTGCGGGCACATCCCCAGTGGGGGGTGTGCAGGAGGCGGCTGATCGATGTTTCTCTCTCATCGATGTTTCTAACTCTCTCTCCCTCTCCCTTCCTCTCTGTGAAAAGCCAAAAAAATATATTTTAAAAAAAAAAAAAAGGAGAAGAGGGTTGACTTTGGCTAGATCTAGTGTACAGTGAGCTATCTGAGCTTTGTGTTGACAGGAAAACCTTGCAGGTGTGATGGGAGGGCAGTGCAGGTAACAAATGCAGACCCAGTGGTTTGAAAGCTGGAGGGTAGGAAAGTTCCTTTCCGGCTGGGGTGGGAGATGAAGACGCACAGGAATGAAATGTGGAAAGTTGTCATGCAGTCTGTGTCTTGACCACTGAAAGGAAGGAACAGGTTTTTTTAAACTAACACCGAGCTGGGCTGCTCTTCTCGAGTCTGGTGGTCCCTGGATAGGACTGGAGAAATAAGCTGTTATTTTAAGTGTTTTACTGCAGTTCTTGCTCTTTGAATCGCTGTGTTAACTGCAATAGA